GGGCCCTGGGTGGGGGCCGCGGCCAGGGTCTCTCACCCGCCCGGCCCCGTCATCCCCAGATGTGTACCGGCTGCACGAGGACGTGCTAGGGGAGGGGGCCCACGCCCGCGTGCAGACCTGCGTCAGCCTCATCACCAACCAGGAGTACGCCGTCAAGGTACGCCCGCCCCACAGCTGGGCGACGCAACGGGTCGCCGAGGCCTGGCATGAGTGGCGGCTGGGAGCTGGGGCTTTGGCCAGAGGGCCTCTCTGCCTGTTCCCTGCCTGAGTCCCCCGGGACCACCATGGCTTCGAGTACGTCTCGGAGATCAAAACGCGGCACGGTCTCTGGGAGAAGCCCAGTGCGGTCCGTGGGCTGGCTTCTAGCCGGTGTCCCCGACCCACTGCCCTGAGCCCCAGCGTGCCGAGGCCCCAAGCTCAACACCAAGCCCGGCTGTCAGGGCAGGGGCTGGACCCTGATCAGGAAATCTTCCTAGCCTTTCCCGCTGCCCCTGTGCTGGCCGCAAGGCCGGGTGGGATGGAGGAGAGCCAGGTGCTCCCAGGAGCAGGCTGGCTGGAAACCTGGCTCCTCCCGGGCAGCGGGGAGCAGGGAGGCTGCCAACCGTCGAGGGGCGGTGCATGCCCTCTTCTGTCAGTTAGGCTCCGCCCGGTGCGCAGCCTGTGACTACCAGGGACAATGGCAGGCAGGCGGAGGTGTAGACTCAGACGGCACCGGCGGTGTCCTGAGCACCTTTCCAGCTCCCTGCAGGGCAGCCTGGCCGCTTGTCCTCGATGGGTAGGGACATGGAGGCTTGGAGGGAGGTGGCCTGACCTGGGACTCCTGGCTGCCCCCTGAGCTGCCTTTCCAGTTGTTTTACCACTGCAACCCCGTGTGGTCAGTGCTGGGACCCAGGCAGCTTCTTGGAAGAGGTGTTGTCCAGGTCCAGTGTTGAAGTCTGGGGTCCGGGCAGGGTGGGGCAGAGCCACCAGGTGGGCAGGGGCCTGGCAGCAGGAGTGCTGGTGGGTTTGACAATGGTGTCTTGCCCCATGGGGGTCATGGCCTGTGGTCAGGGGACTGCAGATCCTAGCTGGCGCCTTGGAGAAGGCCGCCTCCCCACCAGGAGGGGTCAGAAGTGGGGGTCCTCGCCCAAGGGACAGGGTGGGGTTGGGTTGAACTCTGTGCCTGCTGGTGCTTGGCTTTCAGCTGGGGGGTGTCTTAGGTGGCCCCAGAACCCCTCTGCTCGCTGGGGCTGGTGTCTGTCACTAGACCCAGGGGACAGTACACAGTGGTGGCTGGGGGCTCAGGTGGAATATAGCACCAACCCCCACGCCACTGCGGTGGTGCGCAGGGAGCCCTGGGCCCCGGAGGTCTCCTGGCCACCCCTCAGTCTGGTGAGCACGTCTGTCCTGGAACTTGATCCTGGGGTGTCGGGGAGACCTGACACCCCCTCCCCCCTCCCCCCCCCCCCCAACCCCCCCCCCCCCCCCCCCCCCCCCCCCCCCCCGTGAGCACAGGCTGGGAGCAACTCGGAGGGGCAGGACCCTCGTCCTTCCCACCCTGGGTGCCGGAGGACGCTGGGGCGAAGGGCTGCTGGGCCCTGCAGGACAGCGGTAGGGAGCCAGGCCAGGCAGCGGGCTGGAGAGGCTGGGCTTGGTGCCGTAGCCCAGCAAGTGACCTGCAGGGCCAGCAGGAAGACTCCCTGGTCCCCTGGTCAGGGGCTGCCCTACAGGGACCTGACACCTAGGCAGGGGAGCGGCCCAGGTACCTGTTGGGGTCCAGGGAGCTCTGCTCTCTGCCTCCCCGTCCCACCCTGCCCCTCCCCGGGCACTGCGCCGCTCTGGGGAGCTCGTCCTGTGCCCGCGCCGCCTTCCAGCACATTCCAGGCCTCAGTGGTGCTGGAATTGCGAGTGTGGCGGGGAAGCTCTGGCGGGTCACCCACCCGCCGCTGCCCGTGACCCGGTGCCGTGTCCCCCGCCCCTTGCAGATCATCGAGAAGCAGCCCGGCCACATTCGGAGCAGGGTTTTCCGGGAGGTGGAGATGCTGTACCAGTGCCAGGGACACAGGTACCGGGGCTGGAGTGCTGCTCCCGCCAGCCTCGGGGGGAGGGCCCAGTGCCGCCTCGCTGCCTGCAGCCTGCGGGGACGCTGGGCATCTAGCTGGCAGCCCCGGTGACTGAGGAACGGGCCTCTCCTGCACCCCACACCCCAGGAACGTCCTGGAGCTGATCGAGTTCTTCGAGGAGGAGGACCGCTTCTACCTGGTGTTCGAGAAGATGCGAGGGGGTATGTGGGGCTCCCACCGGACCAGGGGAGAGCTGGGGAGCTGGGTCCTTACGGGACAGCGACTGATCACTAGAAGGACCTGTGAGGGTCCCAGACATGGGAGGGAGCTTCCTGTCTACACTGGCTCAAGCGGGGTTGACTTCAGCCCCAGCAAAGCAGTGTGGGGCTGTGCTGCAGGCGGGCAGTCCGGGGCCCCTGGTGACCCGTCCCCCTCGGCCGCCCAGGCTCCATCCTGAGTCACATCCATAAGCGACGACACTTCAACGAGCTGGAGGCCAGCGTGGTGGTGCAGGACGTGGCCAGCGCCCTGGACTTCCTGCACAACAAAGGTGGGGGGCTGGCTGGCAGCGCGGGGGTCCTGCGGTCCCCAGCCTGGGGGCCAGTCCTAGGACTCCTGGCCGTCACGCCTGATCGCCCCTGCCCCTTCTCCCCAGGCATCGCCCACAGGGACCTGAAGCCGGAGAACATCCTGTGTGAGCACCCCAACCAGGTGAGCCGCGCGGCCCTGCACGCCCTCCGGGCGGGAGCTGGGGCCCCCGGTCTTCTCCCACTGCCCCCTGCCCCTCCCAGGTCTCCCCCGTGAAGATCTGCGACTTCGACCTGGGCAGCGGCATCAAGCTCAACGGGGACTGCTCCCCCATCTCCACCCCGGAGCTGCTCACCCCGGTGAGGGCCAGGGCGCCCCGAGGGCGGGCTCGGTGCGGGTGGGTGCCGCGGCCCATCTGCGGTTGCGTAACCTCGCGGTGCCCGCGCCGGCTGGACCCGAGCTCGGGCTTCCGCCTGGCAACAGCCACTGATTGGCGGGCGGGGCGGAAAGGGCTTCGGCACCTGTCGCTTATTGGCCGAGCAGTGCGGTGGGCGGTGCGTCAGCCGGGCGGGGGCGGGAGGTGCTCTAGCTGCGGCTTCTGATTGGTCGGCCTGGGGGCGGGACCGCGGGCAGGGCGGCCGGCTCAGGTGACCCGGGGTTGGCGCTGGGTCCCGGGGCCACGTGACGCCGGGAAATCCCGGCTGACGGTGCCCTCCCGGCCCGCAGTGCGGCTCCGCGGAGTACATGGCCCCCGAGGTGGTGGAGGCCTTCAGCGAGGAGGCCAGCATCTACGACAAGCGCTGCGACCTGTGGAGCCTGGGCGTCATCCTCTACATCCTGCTGAGCGGCTACCCGCCCTTCGTGGGCCGCTGCGGCAGCGACTGCGGCTGGGACCGCGGCGAGGCCTGCCCCGCCTGCCAGGTGCGGGCCGCCGACGGCGGTGGGGTCCTG